CCCAGAATTGTGCTCTCGCTGTGCGCGGGTCCTATGAACACTAAACCTTAGACCCCAAAACCCAATCCCTATAATCCGCATAACACCTGCTTCAGATACTAACCCTAAAATCCAATGCTTATTCTCCTCAAAACACACCAACAAGGGACGTCCTGGTTTCACCCTGAGCCCTAAGTCCTCACCCTAAACCCTAAACCCTGATTTCACCCTAAACCCTGAGCCCTAAACCCTGGTGCCTTGCCACCCCAGAGATTCCATTTGTGGAGGCGAATAAAGAGCATGTGCCAGTTCACCTGAACCGCATATTTTTGTTGGTTTAAGGTTTAAGGTTTAGGGTGTAGGGTTGGTCCCGAGGGCTCTTACACAGGGGATTATACAGGATTTAGGGTCTAAACTCGATGAAGGGGTGTCATTTGGGGGAATACATAAGGTGTAAAGTTTTATAGGGCTTCGCAAGGGGCTCTAGCAGGGTTCTCTTCCGATTTGAAATGGATTATAGAGTGGAAGGGTCCAGGTGCCCAAATATCCGGGTGTTGGCTACCAAAAACCCTAAGCCCTAAACCCTAAACCCTTAAACCCTAAACCCTTAAACCCTAAACCCTAAACCCTTAAACCCGATCCAGAGTATATCGCTTGGGCCTTAATCCGCACTCTGTGGAAACGGCATATTGGGTTTAGGTTTGGGGTTTGGGGGTATATACACCCTATATAATTCCTATATAACCCCTATATTACCCCTGTACCCCTGTATAACCCTAAACCCTAAATGAATTTGTCCATCTTGTTTTCCATTATCCCTAAGTGGACCCTTAGGGGCAAGGGTTTTGAGTGAGCAACATGTGTACGTGTCAGGAATGGGACTTAGGGCTTCGTTCGCAAGGATGCTGCGGGCCCGCCGCAAGAGTCCAGACCTAGAAAGCCAGTAGCCCATGATCATAGGGGTTTTAGGTTAAGGGATTAGGGTTTAGGGATTAAGGTTTAGGGCCAGTAGCCCATAATCATAATCTACTTTGCACTAATTTCCCACCACTTTTGGATAAAGTAGGTAGGCCCCAAACCTTAAACCCTAAACCCTACACCCAAAGCCCATCATTTTGGGTACCTGGGCTTTCTAGGGAAATACCCATGTCGCTTCTTCCTGCGACCCCTTAATTCCTTCAGAGGAACTTCTTGTGGGCTTTCTAGGGAAATACCCATGTCGCTTCTTCCTGCGACCCCTTAATTCCTTCAGAGGAACTTCTTGGAGCCCCAAACATCCGTTTAAGGTTTAGGGTTTGGGGTTTGGGTTTAGGGTTTGGGGTTCAGAGTTTGGGGCGTAGGGTTTGGTGTTTAGGGTTTGGGTTTGTTGGTTTAGGGTGTGATGAACCTTTGCACTGGCAAGACTTTGTGACTTGAGTAGAATGTTTGCTTGACTGTCAAGTGAGGTTGTTGCACACCGTTGGAGATCTGAACCCTGCAAGACTCTGCTTTTCTCCCTTTTTTGTTGGGGCGAGTGAAGGGTGTGTGTAGCAGCTTCGTGTGACCTGACATGAAGCACAACAGTGAATGTGCTCAAAACTAGGTTTACTCAAGCGCACCCTGCATCGTTTACTGGGTTGCGGTCAAGGAACTTAAATCAATTTTCCATCATGGGTATATATATGTATAATTATGTATATATAAGTTGATATTGTTCATATGGTTTTCCCAATGTAGTAACTTAAATTACTAGCTTCCCCAGTAACCCTGTAATAATACGGGTACCCGTTTTCCTAATATTCAGCTTTAATAANNATAGAAAGAGAAAAAGGGTACTACTGGGGTACCTAGATTAAGTTCCGTTACTCTCCTTCCCCAATAACCAGGGCTAAAAAGTTTAAACTTTACTAAAAAGTTTGAAGTTCTTCTATCGGCGGAGTAAGTTAACAGAAGCCCAGTTTAGGGTTTGAGGTCTACGGCGGCCTCGGGCTTGTATGATCCGCCTGAAAGGATACCCATATGCACTCCCCCCTTAGAATCCCCAAGCACACTCCATAACCCTAAATCCTAAGACCTAAGCCCTTAAGCCCTAAACCTGAACCCTTAAAGGTCAACTTCCTTGGAACGCTGCACCTTATCCCTACACCCAGGCCCTGCATCCAGAACCTGAAATCCCTACACATGAGACACCCCTAAACATTACACAGAAAGCCAGTAGCCCAGAATCATAATCTACTTTCCACTAAAGTCCTACCACTTTTGGGTAAAGTTGCCCGCGCTTTGGGGTAACTGGGCTTTCTAGGTAAGTCCTACACCCTAAACCCTTCCCAGAAAGCCTACTTTCCCATAATAATGGGCTACTTTAACCCAACGTAATAGGAACTTAGGGGAAAGTAGACTATAACTATGGGCAAGGGTTAACCTTCAAACCCTAAACCCTAAACCTAAACCCCAAAAGCGCCTTCTCGAAGAATTCGTCCACGTTGTTCTCTCGGATCAGGGCCAAGGGGCGCTCCCTTGCTGTGGTGTTAGGGTTCAGGGTTTCGGATTTAGGGTTTAGGATTTAGGGTATAGGGTTCAGGGTATAGGGTTTAGGGCTTAGTATTCGTCTAAGCCCAGGGTAGGTTCGAGCCACGCATACTGTGATTCTAGCCCAACTGTTTGGGGGACTCATAACTGCATGGAGCCCCCAAGGAGCGTATGTACTCAATGGCCTTTGGGCTATTCTTAATGCTTAGAGGAAATTTGTGTACCTACAAACCCTTGAATCCAAACCCTAAACCCCAAGCCCTAAGCCGCTCAAACCCTAAACTGCCTTGTGACGTCCAACCGGGCTGCAACTACATCAATGGTTGGGATATAATCGGGTCAAAGAGTTGGCCTAACGCCTATATAACCCATATCACATCTGTGCAACCCCATATAACGCCTATATAACCCCAAACGACCGTAAATTCCTGTATATAACTCTATCTACAAGTGTATATATATATATATGTATATATGATGGCCCGATATAACCCCTCTATCCCCACTCGATATAGGCGGCCCAAACGTGGAACACGGAAATCGTCGAACCTCTCAAGGGTCCTCTTTGCCCTTGGAGTAGGGAAATACTGTTCCAACATTCTGGGTCCTTCTGTAGAGTTTAGGGCTATCTCCAAACCATAGACCCTAAACCCTTAACCCCTAAACCCTAACCCCTTAAACCCTCAACCCTAAACCGCGAGTGTTCAAGGTTTGGGGCGTTCAGGGAGTGTGGCTTCAGGTTTGATGCTTAGGGTTGTCGGTTGGGTGACTGTGGCCTAGGGTTGATCTTGACTTGGCGCATAAAGGTTTAGGGCTTAGGGTTAAACCCTACCCTTGGCCCCGCAGTGAAAGATCACCCTTTTCAAGAGTGTGTTTTCACCCCAAGCCCAGCCGGCAAAAAATTATGAGTGTCTGCCTGACTCAGGAGGCGGCTGCTAAACGCTGAGTCTCAAACACCCACTGCCGGCCAAGGCTTCGAATGAGGTCTGTGCCCTAAACCCTAAACCCTAGACCTTAAACCCTAAACCCTAAACCTTTGCAGCCTCCCGTGCCAGCTCCGCTTTGGACATGCGAAGATTCTTCGTGTTCCCAAAGGGTCCATGTAGGTATATGGTTTGTACTAGGGGCACAAGTCGTACTCCTCAGCGGCTACTTGAAGACAATCAAGCCAAGGAGCATATGCGCTGCAGTCACTATTTCCCAGATAATGAACGGACATGGGTTCCTAATTAGGCAACATATTAGGGACTATACAAATGAGCTACGAGAGGGACCCGTGCGTCCACCCTTCATGGACCCTTGGCACGGCTAATATGGACAGTAGCTCTCTCTCTCATATATATATATATCCTTTTTTTAACCCCTACATAATCCCAGCTTCCACGTCAGCATGTTCTTGTCCATTTGATTATCCATTCCTGGAGCAATCTGGCCAATACCCCAAACCCCAAACACTAACCCGAACGCCCCTTAAATAAGGCAAATATTGACAGTATCTCATATGAGCCATAGTCTAAACTCCTAGTATCCCCCTTAATAACCCCTATAGTAGTCCCCTAAATCATCCCCTATATGTCCCCCTTTGAGGAGTTTAGACTATAGCTCATATGTGCGCGGGGTTTATCGGCGAGCTTTCGCCCAAAAGGGAACTCACTAAGGTTTCGGGTAAGGGTTTAGGGTCGTCGGGTGACTTTTGGGAAGCCCTAAACCCTAAACCCTGAATTTCGGATGATGTTGTGGTCTAAGTATTTGCCATACAGGTACCTTAACCCTGAAAAACCAGCCAACCCCTACTAAGGGTTAACCCCTAGGTACCTATAATAGGAGTGTCAGGGAATCCCAAAGGGTTGAGGCTCCAAGTTAAGTCCCAAGGAGAAAAGGGTTCACAACACGAACTGGTTGTGTCAGAAGGAGTGATCTGGGCCAAGGTTCGGGCTTGGGGCTTGCAGCTCCCTAAACCCTAAACCC